CCTCTCTTCTCTCTCCCTCTCCCTCTCCTCCTTCAACCAAAGAAAAACAGAAAAAGATATTTCTCAGAACTGAGAATCCCTGCCTTTCCTTGCAATAATTAAGCCAGCCCTGACCAGTTAATAGTTTTTTCCCTGATACATTTTAAACACAGACATCTTTAATTCATTAACTCCGGTTATTGATTTATTTTTCAGCTTATGAATTGCTGTTGCTGGGGATAGGGTGGAGACAGCTTTCTGGAGAGAGCTCTTGTCTCTCCAGTCACTGCCGGCAAAGAGCTGTTCAGACCTTCCAGGGTCATTCTTTACATTCTTGAGAAAAAATCCTACTTTGATGTAAAGGATGAGGTTTGCCTTAAAAGAAACCCAACAAGAAACCCAAACCCCAGCTCTCCCCCGCTCACTGCCGGAGGAAGAGGCAATGAAGAGGAATGATCCTGGCACCCATMGAGCAGAGCCTGGCACCAACACCATCCTCACCACCTCACTCTCCTTTGATCTGGTGTCAAAGCTCAGTTGGAGTGGAGGAGATGTCATTTAGGGAGGGGTGAGGGATGGGCATTGACAGCCAATGCTCCGCAGCAGCCCTGGGCATGGTGTGGACACCAGGATGGGCAGGGCTGACCCAGGACTGGGGCTGGGTGGYGGGTGCAGGTGCTGCTGGTTCCCCACAGCACCTCCTCAGGGGCATTTGGCTGTTGCTGCCCTTTCCCCCTGCCCAGGAGGAGCTCCTGCTGCCTTGCAGGGATGAGGGCTCYGGCCCCAGCTGGAAGGATGAGTGTTTGTCTCCTGAGATTTGGGGACTGCCTGGAGAATGCTGCCCTGTCTGCAGTGCTGGCCCCACCTCCACCACACTCGCTGCATCAGTACAGCCACCCCTCCCATCCTGGTCTGCAGCAGGGACGAAGGGCTGGCAAATCCCAAAGGCTCTGCATGGATGCAGGGARGCAGCAGCCCCTGTGACAAATGCCTCTGTGGTGCCAGTACACAGCCTTTGCAATGACCATGTGCAATTTGCAGTGTGACAATTACACACCCAGCAGCTTTACCTGGATGTATCCACTTGCCCAAGCAGGGCAGGARCATCCTCCAAACTGGATAAAGCCAACTGCATCTGCCAAGAAGAGCTGGTGGGGGAAAACCAGGGCAATGTGCTCCATGTCATCAGGGTTGGGGATGAAGGAGTGTTAGTCCTGGGGACAGGATTGGCTGGTGGGGCTGGAGAAGCCACCTGGGCACTCAGGAACATGTGGCTTTGCTGTGAGTCCCCAGCCATGGCATCAAGGGCAGGGCACAGGGAGAGAGGGGACACATGCTCTCCAGCCCAGGGCAGTGCTGCCCAGATCTGCCGGATGCAGGACAGACCAGCCAGTCCTCATACGAGTCAGAAGTCGACCAAGAATCTTGGGGTGCTGCTTTCACCCCCTGGACCTGTCGGTCACCACTTCCAGCTGCTACAAATGCAGAGAGGAACGGCTGTGACGGCTCTGGCAGCCCGACACCTCCCCCCTGAGAGCTGTCAGCAACTCACCCAGCCATGAACCAGCCTCCCTCACCTCTGCCAGACCCCAAAGCTTCAGCAGAAGCATCACTAATTAGAAGCCAGGAGCACATTACAGATCATCTGGCTATTTATACAGAGCTGCTTTACATAAAGTGTGCTGCAGAAGGGGGAATGAATCATACCTGCTCTGCTGTGACTGCACTGATGAGCACGGCCAACCCGCTGCCCCCCATCCCAGCAGCTTGTGGGGCAGCTCCCYAAGCTCCCGTGCAGGGTCACTCTGTTCCTGGGGTCAGAGTGTCCCTGGGCTMGGGATACTGCCAGGGTCATGGCATGCCCAGGGCTGGGATGCTCCCGTGGCACTGGGCATTGTTGCAGGGTCTGGGCTCTGCGGGTGGCAGTGGGGGTGAGCCTCTGGCACAGTGAGGGCGATGCTGCCAAGACTGCCCTGTTACTTTCTGAGTGCTCTCTAAACAACAATAGATGTCCCTGTCCCTTGAGAATGATCAGCATTAGGGATTTTAAAGTAGAAGCAGGGAAACTGAGGCATGGAGAAGGCGTGAAGGTACGACAAACACCCTGTGGTTGTCAGCATCCTTCCCCTGTGAGTTTATCTGATGGGCAGGATTTTGGTGCCTTCCCCCATCAGGACCACACACTCAGCCCCACAAGAGCTGCTCTGAGGAACAGGCAGCCCCAGGTGCCGCTGTCATTTTGAGCCAGCTTCACGCCAGCCACGGGACGGGGACAAGGCCAGCATTGGTCCCCAGCCCTGTCACTGCACGGCACTGCTCCAGGTCCAGCCRGGCAGGAGCCAGGCTCACCTGCCCAGCCCTCCATCAGAAGCAGCATCTCTGCAGCCACTCAGCACCAGCACGGTCAGGGCTCAGCAGACCCAGCTGGCACCTGCCAAGACAGTCCCCCACACCAAGGGGACACGTGGGAAAAGCCATCAATTGGAACGTCAACCGCAGCGCCGGCAAGAATTGTCTCCTGACAACCAGAGAAGGTTGTTCAACTACTGTGCTGTATCATAAATCACACCTCTATGACTTACCATCTGTCAGCCAGATTACACATGTTCAGAGTCCCATGTCAGCATTTAAGTCAGAACACGGCATCTTTTCTCAGAAATAATTATCAGTGCTGAAGGCTCTTGCAGCAATACCYGTCCTCAGACCTTCCCTCCAAAGCTCTGGACAGAGCAGAGCTGTCCTTCCTAGAAGGCAGGACCATCACTGTGGCACAGGAATGCACAGCCTCCATGTGACACGTCCCCCCTAAAGCCACTGCTTCAGGCACAGGCAGGGACAGGGTCCAGCAGGGCAAACTCTCCCCGGCATGAGCCAGGGCACCCAGCATCCTGAACAGAGCAGGCAAGGGTGGGCAGAGGCAGAGGCTGCTGCTAAAGGGAGACAGGGACAGTGCTGTCCCCAGGCTGGTGTGTGCTGAGAGCCCTGGAGTGTCCAGCCAGGACGAGCAGCACTTGGACCCCAGCCTGGCTRAAGGGGAACAGCCTGGCTCAGCACAGGGCACAGTTCCCATTGCCCCAACGCACTGCAACACGAGTGTGCACCCATCCCTTCACCCCACAGGTTTTCTGGGAGCCCAGCTCCACAGAGGTGACTGCTGAAGCCCCCAGCCTGCCGAGGCAGASCACGGACATGGTGGGTGGCAGCCCGTCCTCATCCTGCCTGTGCCTCCGGCAGCTCGTTAAGCCGGCACCGGACACGGCACCCAGCACACAAATCCTCAGCTGCTCTCTGGGATGAGGACAAGAGGCTGAAGCGCTGCCCTCCACCCCCTCGCTGGCCAGGCAGGCGGATGAGCAGTGACATTTCCCAAAGCTCAGTACAGAAATACACAGGGACTGGATCCATCCCTCCGGCTTCACCC